ATGACTCGTCTTATCAGAAAGGACGCCAAGTTTGAGTGGACCCCAGAGTGTGAGAAGAGCTTTTTGACCTTGAAGGAGAAGTTGGTCACTGCTCCTGTACTTGCACTTCCAATTAATGGGGAAAGATTCACTATATATAGTGATGCCTCTAAAAAGGGTTTGGGATGTGTCTTGATGCAAAAAGATAGGGTTATTGCATACGCTTCTCGGCAGTTAAAGCCTTATGAAGAAAATTACCCTACCCATGATCTGGAGTTGGCAGCTGTAGTATTTGCACTCAAGATCTGGAGGCATTATCTGTATGGTGAGACTTGTGAGATCTTCACTGATCACAAGAGCCTTAAGTATATTTTCACTCAGAAGGAGCTTAATATGAGGCAGAGGCGATGGCTTGAACTTTTAAAGGACTACGACTTGACCATTAGCTACCATCCGGGTAAAGCTAACAAGGTAGCAGATGCATTGAGTAGAAAGTCCTCTGGCACTGCCTCTAGCATCCTTGCCACTCAGAAGGAGTTACTTGAGGATCTTGTGAAACTGGATGTGGAGTTAAGAATGGACAGCACTACGGCTTATCTAGCCGCCCTCAGTGCACAACCGGCATTAATAGATAGAATTAAACTTGCCCAACAAAAAGATTCCTTCTTGCAGAAGATGAAGGAAAAAGTAAGAGCCGGGGAACCCCACATGCAAGAGTTCAGGATTTCTGATGATGAGATTCTGTGGTTTGGTGACAGGCTGTGTGTACCCAAAGATCATGCTTTAAGGCGTGAGATTATGGGAGATGCCCATTATACTAGCTATACAATTCACCCAGGTAGCACCAAGATGTATCGTGATTTACGTAGTACATTTTGGTGGCGAAACATGAAGAGGGAGATAGCTAGATTTGTCTCACAATGCCTGACTTGCGAGAAGGTCAAGGCTGAACATCAGAGACTTCTTGGAAACCTGCAACTGTTACCTATTCCTCAGTGGAAGTGGGAAAACATCACCATGGACTTTGTGACTGGATTACCACGAACCTTAAAGGGTAATGATTCCATTTGGGTCATCGTTGATCGATTGACCAAATCGGCTCACTTCTTACCCTACCGGACTGGCACCTCCATTGAAAAGCTTGCTAGTATGTACATGGAGGAGGTAGTCAAACTGCATGGAGTCCCTGTGTCTATTGTGTCAGATAGAGATACCAGATTTTTGTCTCATTTCTGGACTAGCTTGCA